GCGGAGCTCTTCGCTCTCTACGAGACGCGAGGCTCGGGGGCGCGGAGCAGAAAGAAGGGACTGAGAATCTCCTTCCCATTCAAGGAAAACGTGCTGCTGTGCTGATGCCGCCTGGAGAGATCTCCGGACTGTGGGACACACTTTGACTACAGAACTCAAAGTTTCTTCCATATCGTAAACTTCGTTAAACAACCCGAGGGACTTCCCTCTGCGGGCACACGGGCCGGTGCATCACACGCTGAACAGATATTCACAGGCACGGAGATGCGGCGGAACAAACGAGTGAGCGCTCCCTCCCTCCCTCCCTCCCTGGCCTAGCTCTGCAAGTTCCCGCAGAAATCCCCACCTTCATTAAGGCTGAGGGCTCGGCGTTTCCTCTGGGCTGCCTCCTGTTCGGTCTGTCAACAGCTCACCCTGCGGTGGATGGAAATGGGTACAGTGACAACGGTAACAACGTCAGAAGGTATTTCCTGCTCCCTGGAGTAGACAGTGGTTGGTGCCGGTGCAAAGGATGGAGATGAAGACCAGAGTATTTTTCTCTACTTCCTAAGTTCATATGATTGGATAGTCATTTGAAGCGTAGGGTATTTTTTTTTAAAGACACTTTCAGACTGTCGCCGATTAAAACCAATACCCAGGAACTATGTCTTATCATTCATTTATTTTGTTACCTACAGTATTGGTAAATACTGTATAGGTCTGAATCCTACTGGTTACATCTATTGGTATGCCTCCATCAACATAACGCTCAGTGGCAAATTTCTGCTAGTTAAGAAGTCTATGTAGGCATTTAATTTTAAGTTTGTTGCTGACATTTATGCAACTTGCATCTAGTTGGCATAAAACATAATAGGATTCCAGCCATAGAGTTTTAATGCATAGTTTTATCATTTGAATTGTAGTTCTACACAGAAACACAACAAAACAATTCAAGTGTCTATACTTTACTGCAACCAAGAGCTCTCATTAATGTATGAATCAGAGGGAGGGGAAAAATCAAGAGGTAGCAGCTATTTTTCACAGTACTTTCAGACTTCCTGAAAGTGTACTCATTGAAGCTATATCGCATTAGGTCAGGGGTCTCCAAACTTCTCTGTATGAGGGCCACATTATATATTGTACACATTTTTAGAGAAGGGGGACCCAAGAGATTCCTCACCCCCACTGACTTTGCAAAGATAGCAGGGTTGGGGAATCACTTGGGTCCTCCTTCTCACTTCCTATGCCTTGGCTGGATAAAAAGGCAAGCAGGCCAGATGTGCCCCGCGGGCCATAGTTTGGATACCCCTGCATTAGGTGCTCAATGAACTGCTCCACACAAATGTTTGTTATTCCTTTAAATCTATAGCAATCCAGTAGTCACACATGAATTACTATGAGGTCAGTTTGCTGGTGTACTTGAATACAGTAATATTAACATAGTCTAAAGAAAGCCAGAATACAACAATAAGAATAGAATTTTATTCCAGAGGCACAGTACATCTTCATTTAAAGTATCAGACCATACATGTGAACTAAATCATTAGAAAATCCAGTATGGAAATTGTTACGACAAATGATGCTTGGAGAGGGACAGGCAGTTCTCAGTGCATCTTGCCATAATGGCAGAGGAATGAGTAAACATGTTTCATTACACTTCACATTCAAGAATAAAGTTATACTCAAGAAAATATATCCACTAGGCACTTTCAGGTGTGAAACCAGAAGACCTGCTTTAGGCAAATATTTGTGACAGAACAAACAGTAAGGCATTAGAGTAGACCTGGTTGAATTCAAAGTACATTAAGAGCATCTTTGGATCAGTGGAGCCTTCCATAAAAAACATGTCTTCATATCCTGCAAAGCAAAAAGCAATTTAGTCTCTTTTAGAAGCATTTTCATTCATAAGTGACTCTTAAATATTAGATTATGGCAGAGAGAATTAATATGTAAGGCATTACAGTTGTCCCACTTAGTTTTTTATACTAACAATTACAGGAGTTGCTCAGACTTAAAAGTTGTGACTAAACAGTCATCAAATCGTGCAAAATGCAGTACTAAATCAATGCAAGCCTACAGTCTCCCCAAATTAAGTGTTATTGACATGCCAGCCCTTCCACTTCCAAGTCAAGATTGTTACTTGGAAGGAAGCAGCACACTATACCAAACAAATACATTCAAGATCACTGTTTTCTTGCACTACTTTGCATTCATTGCAAAACACAGAAGTACTGATTACTTCTATGAACTGTTAAAAGAAACACGACTCCCCACCCCCAAAGCTTGTCACTACCTCCAATTCATTTCAAATCTGGTCTGAAAATATTGGAATTTTGTCTCAAGTAAGCTCTGCTACAAACACTTAAAAACTCTACAAGATATAATTTGTTCTTAGCTATTCAGGTTTTTCAAACAGAGAATTATACAGTAATTGTGAAGGGAAATGAAAGCTGCACAAGATAAAAGCAGGAGTAACCCCTCTGAATTGGTATGTGCAATTTGTTGTTCCAGAAACCAAATTTCTGGATCTGGTCCCTAATCATTATTACAGCAAACTTCAATTTCAAGCCCAGCACTGAAAGAGAACAAACACTTCTACGACAGCAATCTGTTTGGGTTGAACAATTTAACAACAATGCTCAAGTAAGTCATGATCTTCTATGCATCCTTGTTATATAGTACATTTTATGCAGAAGAGGAATGGGTGTTTATGTACCGTTGGCAATATGAAAAAGGTGGGCAAAATGAACACTCAATATCACTGTTAAATGGCAAAAGCTCTTCATTCCCAGAGGGGTGCAGTGCCACTTGTCTGCTTGCCGGTGAACAACTGGTATTCACACCCAACAGTCAATCTGTATTGCTGGACAAAAGACTGCCCATTTTTGCAGTGTTCTTTGGCAAGCTCTGTGCCCAATCAAAGCTTCATCTGACAATTTAAAATTTGTACTTCAGTTTTGGCACATTTCTTGAACACTCAAAAAGATGATTACCAGTAGGTTTTTATAACATATAAATTTTTCCCCTTTTTTAAGTAAAAAGGTAACAGTCATAAAATACTAACTGGAACCTAAAAAGAGCATAACATGATAACCATAACCTTTTAGAAAGAGACACAGATAATGGGAATTACAAAAATTTGTGGCACAAGTCATAGCCACTGACATTCGTTCATTCAGTTTGTATTCCACTCCCATTAGTGTCACGGCACTACTCTAGGCAGGTGACATCACATATACAGTGGTGCCTTGCTAGATGATGATAATCCATTCCACTGAAATCGCTGTTTAGCGAAATCATTGTCTAGCAAAAAGTATTTCCCTATTGGAATGCATTGAAACCTGTTTAATGCATTCCAATGGGTAAGATTCGTCGTTGTCTAGCGAAGATCGGCCATAGGAAAGCCACTTTGCAAACCGTCAATCAGCTGTTTAAATAGCTGTCTTGCGAAGCTTAGGTCCCGAAAACACCCATTTTGCGAGCGCAGAGGGAGCTGTCAAAATCACCGTCTAGCGAAAATTGGTTTACGAAGCAGGGACCAAACACTGTCCAGCGAAATTCCCCCATAGGAATCACTGTTTTGCGAATCGCTATAAGGATCGCAAAAAGTCATTGTCTAGTGAAAAACTGTCATGCGGGGTAACCATCTAGCGAGGCACCACTGTAATAGAAAATAAAAATAGAAGCATTAAAAGCAGCAACAATAACCCTAAAAAACAGGTGGCACCAACTAATCATATAAACTCAAGAGTGGATAGAGGAAAAGAGGGTGGCGAAAAGGAGGGGAAAGAAAAACAGCAGGGAAGGTGGGGAAAACAGACAGAACACAATAGTTTCATGTCAGCCTATCCCCCTTACTTTCCCTTGTTCAATAATCAGAAAATGTACTTTTAAGCAATTATGCTAAATGGCCAATGTATTGTAATCACATTCTAGAGTACAGGATTAGAGAATCCAAGTCCTTCACCTATACTTGTAGTGATACTGATGCTAAATCCAATCTGGTTCATTATTGAAATCATTGCAGCAAAAAATAGGTTCCCTCTTGTAAGAACTATTCTGTCTTGAATTAAAAAGCCACTGTGTTCAGTTCCTATACATGCTGGGTGTCAGAGGTGAGGAGGGTCAATGAATCATGCTCACAAATGTACACTGAATTCTTGTTGTTGCAGAGTTGTTTTGATGATAAAAGGAGAGGGGAGCAGAAAAAACAGTCATCAGATTCTCAGAGAAAATGTGGATATAAATCTAATAGATATGAAAAGACCAAGAATAGTTACCTAGTTCACAAACGGTGACAGAAGAGGACATCATTAAGGCCAGTGGTCTTTCAGGTACAAAATTATATCACTTTTTAACTGTGGGCCAAACAGCGGGTTCAGCTGAGCCAGGATTGCTATTAACCAGCTGCAAGGTAAAAACACACTGTAAAAATAATGAATAACAAATGTGTGGCTAGTATGCAACAGACTAGTTGGTTAAAAGAGGTAGAATTACCACAGCTAAAACACTCCTGAGTCAATGCAGACCTCCAAAAGCTTTCAGAAGAGACAACCAGAAATGTTTCAGCATCCATCTAAAAGTCTAATACAAAGCTGCACTTAACTCTTTTCTATTTCAAGTAATGCTCATAGTAATGCACACTCTTCCATTAACACTTTTTTTTAAAAAAAATGCTCAGACATCCTCTCACCCATGAAGCTCAAAATATATAATCAGCAGCATTCCTCCCCCACCACATTTCCAGCGTGCAGACCGTGAATGATGCTGCATATACAGCAGTACCCTGCACACAAGACTTAGTGGGGAAATCTAGAAAGAATCTGGATATTTGCAGAACTACAGATGTTTATTTTTAATACTAATGGGAAGCTTCAAGACATAGCCCATTGAGAACTACGTATTCTCACTGCCCACACAATTCTGACACTTGGCAGAAAGTAATGGAAACCTAGATCCACTGGGGAAGGAATGGGGAAGAAAATACAGGATCATGAAAGAGACCATGGCTAACCTGTACAGTGAACAAGACCAATCCATATTGCAACATTTTGTTGCAGGTATTTCTTATTCCCTCCAAAGTCTGAGACCCTTTTGAAAGCCATTTCCTTAATAAATAAATAAATAAAATGTACCACCCTGGCAATGCAATCTTATTTGTTTAAATCTTAACTTATCTCATTGTAGTTGTAGCTTATGCTAGGCTGAAGTCTCCTGATTTGAGGAATATGTATATATTTCAAATAGTGACACTGCTAATGGTTTCATGCTAAGAGATGTAATGGAGAACTGCTAGAGAAAAGTAGCAATTTTCAGTCAGTCACACATCCATCACTAAATACAGAAAAAGCTTAAGCCTCCTTCCAACGTCTCTTTTAGGAGGACTGTTGAGTGTTTGTGAAACTGCTAACAACGCATACATGACAGAACACATGCACACAATTCTCAAAGTAGTGGTCACATTCGCCAGGAAGAAGTCAGATCAGGGACACAAAATATTTTGCAGTGAGTAATATATTCTTGTTGCCAGGAAAACGGAACACATTTATGAGTTATGTATAGTTGGTTTATTAACTGTAAATACCAGCCTCCAGCAAAAGGCTTAGGAATCTTTCATCTGTACAGAGTTACAGCAGTACTAAATGCTCAGTATACAGTACAAGCCATTTTATGAGCACACAGTCACATCTAACTGCTATTTCTAGAATGCTTTGGGAGGAGGCGAAAGAGCAAATCAGCTTTGTAATGGGAGCTGCTACAAATGCAGAACACTTACACAGTCATGGAAAATTCCACACAAACCTGGATGCTAGAACCAGAGAATGAAACACAGTTTAGCTGGAAAAAGAAAAGCTGTAGCAGTCACATAAGAAATACAGAATTCGCCCACACTGGTCAAATTACCTTACTTCTCACAACAGAATAAATAAAATAATAGCTGCAGAAAACAAATACAGTTCTCCAAGATGGATAGCTTTATACGACTGCCACTGACAACCAGCATTTATATCATAAATTGCTACAGATACAGGATGGCATCCTCGTAGACTCACAATATGGTTTTCCTTGTAATGATTGTACAAATATCCCCATTCATACCTGGAGACCAATCATAATTTGGGGCAGAAAAAAACTGTTGTACAGTTCAGAATGGTATGCTTTAAGAATTATGCCTTCTATAATTAAAAGTACATTCTTGCTTGTTCACTTAAGAGGTCCTCCACTAAGGACACTATTTTATCCTATTACTTTTGGTACTTATTATATGCTGCTATTTTTCAAACTATGTTCCAGGAAATCCATAGGGTTTCTTAGAAGCCCCAAGAAGACACACCCTCAAAGGCAACTTCAGAAGTGTTACACATCCTTCTCTACAGTATGTTGTTGCAGGGACTTCTGAATGCCTTCTATAATGTCAGACTCCATTGAAAAGGAGTAAAGCCCAACAAGGCTGGCCAGTTATAGTTTTCCCTGTTCAAAAAGAGAGTCCCTGCAAAACAGGAAATCTAGGACTGACAGGACAGTTTGAAAAGCATCCCCTGAAAATAGACCATTTGGGGAAACAAACCCCCCTCCAAAAAAAAAAAAAAAAAAACAGATTCCTGGTGTCTTTATTGAAATAGAGATCGATGGGCTGTAATACATGCCCTTTGTGGTGTTGAATATTTCATCTGTGCTGATCAATATGTTATCAAGTGCCTGAAACTTTCTGAAAACCAAAAAATTCAGTTGCAAAAACACACATAATCATAAAAGGACAATCTGTACACAAAAATTCGAATCTTTTACAGCCTATCTGTTGCTCCAAGGTAGATTCTTCTGTTTCTAGTTTAACTATAGCTTCTGCAAAATCCAGTCATGAAAAGTATGGATGGAATCCCCAAGAGGAGGTCAAGCTACTCTCATTATTGAAATCATGCTGTACTGAAGTCCAGCATTAGTGTCTTTTACCAGAAACGGCTGTTTTTTATGGAGCAAGCATAGGGCAGTTTCAGGCAGTGCCAGTACTGCTGACTCCTGTGAGTTAAGTACACCTCAAGATGATGCAGCAGCAGTCTCATTATGTCTCAGGTACATGTTGAGCAATAATTCCAAAATATATAAATAATAAAATTTCTGGTGAAATGGGAGGTGAATTATTTTCCTTAAGTATAAATTAGATGCTCTTTGTGTCAGGTATGCCCCAGATCTTTTGTTATTTCTCCTAGACTTCAATGCAAAAATGCAGAATTTATCTGCTCACAGCTATTCTACCAGATACAAACTGAGAGCTGTTCCACTTTCAAAAGCCATTTTTGTGGAAAATATGGAAATTAGAAGGCACCCAGGTTCTCCCTTTTAAAGGTCCAGGTTCCAGAGACCAAGAACAGAACAAGAGGACAACTGGAAAGCTGTGTTCTTTGAAAGACTGTTATTGAAGGATTCACACTTCCACGTATACAGCGGACATACACACTGAAATGCTTAATGATAACAGGAACAGCAAAATTAGAATACAAAACCTAAATTAGTAACCTCCCATTGCTATCAATGGGCTAAATCTACCAGTGGTTCTATTTAGATTTAGACCCACTAAGATTAATGTGATTTATTACTCACAATTCTACTCCAACTGATTTCAGTGGGTCTGTTTTAGATAGAAACAATACTGGATTTAGTCCAAACCTTTGATATTCAAAAATATCAATAAGCTTTTGCACAGTATACTTTCCAACAGCTTCAAAATACATGAATTATTTAGATCAGAGAAAATATGAAGGGCTCATTATGAAATAGAGTCACCACACTGAATTATGTAGAAGAAAGATTAACATGCAACCATTACAACTGCCCTTTAAATCTGCTCAGAAAAACTGTGGCTTTTATTGTTGTGAGACCATAACTCAGTTTGGCTAGGAAATCAGCTGAAACACCCAGCTGGCTAGGAGAAGCAGGAAAACAGCTGGAAAGAGGCAAAATCATTATGTGACCACTGACCTATTAACTCCAGTCCTATTTATTTATTCTCAGCACGCTGAATTTTGTACCATGCTACATTTGCAAAGTCTAATTTCTCATAAGGGCAAGGGGAAAGAAGAGTTAGAGGAGTTAGGAGAACAAAGGTTAACATGAAAGAATGTCCCGTCTTCTTTCTGCTCCAGGATTGACTGAATAATGATTTAGATTTAGACTGTAAACTTGAGAGAAGGAATTGTCATGCTATGTAGCTTCATAACTCACTTTGGGAATTATGTTATGTTACGTTATGTTTGTTACATTACATTATGTTTGGTAGTGACGTCTATTTTAGATGACCAGGCCAGCCTCTGTGTTCCATCATGCCCATGATTTATTTAGAAGGCTCAGTGACAGTGATGCTGATGCTTCCATCCCCAGCCTTATCCTCTCCATGGGCTAGTGCACACTGCCACTGCTGTTAGGAAAGCCTAACCATGAGAGGTCATGATAGGGGAGAGGAGCTGCCACCCTTCACGCCTCCCCCAGGCAAGTTTACTCCACATCAGCAGTGGTAGCACAGTAATGGTCCAGGGGGCTAGCAGCCATCTCGCTTCTACCCCTTTCACAGTGCCACTGCTAGGGGATAAGCCCACATGGCGCATGGAGGATGGGAAATGAAGAAACACCATGTGAAGACAGTTGCAACTGGAGGATGGTAGGCAAGGCATCAATTGTGGTGTGCAATGTTAAAACAGCAGGTCGTTGTCAAATGCTAGATGCTTACACCAGGTTCTGGCATACCTGCCAAAATTGTTTTTCTAGCCAATCAGGTTTTTTTTTCTGGTTTAATATCAAACCACCTTTTTTTTTCAAGAAACCACCACCATGAAAAGTGCTGTTCAAAGCTTTTTATTTTTAGATGCCTATATAAGTAATACACAAATGTCAAATCACCTATCTGGCAATATTTTTAATGACAGCTAGCCTACAGCCTCTGACTCTCATCTCATTACCCAGAAAAAGAAAGCACTACAAAAATGCCTAACCTTACCAGAATGTGGACCCATTGCCGGTCTGGTGCATTCTAAAGGACATCCAGGTCACAGCTTCACATTCATGTGTCTTTGGTTTGTTGAACCATAAACAAGCAGGGTGTACTTATGCAAAACATGCTTGCTCTAGCTTTACACCAAACATAAAGAGGCCCCTGCCCTAGGCTAGTCAAAACTGTAACAAGGTAGATCTTACCTGAAATATGCTGACAATAAACTACACTAACCAAGTTGGTATATATAGGCCAGATGGGAAATGTTGCTGAACTCTATCTAAAATACTGCATTCTTCCATACAAGTCTACCTAGGTTTGGAGATCTGCTCAGGAGCCCCTTCTCGTGGTCCCACCACTTTCAGAGGCTAATTTGATGGGGGTTCAGGAGAGGGCCACCTCTTAGTCCACTCTCAGGCTCTGGAACTCTTCTGCTGAGAGACTCTAAAATTACCTCCTCCCTGCAGTCTTTCCACCAGCAAGAAAATGCTTTTAATTTAGACAGGGCTTTCACAATTAACAGGCTTCTAACCAGAATTTTATCTAATATCTAGATCCCTCCCTCCCTCTCTCCCATTTTAGGTAAACTGTTATTCATACTTTAATTAAAAGATTTTAAAGTGTTTTAAGTTTAATTGTATTTTAATAATATGTGTTTAATTCAATTTCAATACTTGTAACTTTAATTCTATGGCTTTTTCACACAAACCATTCTGGATCCCAGTTTTGAGAGAAAGATGACCCATAAATAAATAAAACAAACAAGACTCTCAACTCTCAGCAGCCTCACCCTACATGGCCCATAGTTAGAAATGATACCAGCTATAATCTGGAGAATCACAGATTTTGTTATCTCTTGCTAAAGTCAAAACTGATGCAAATATAAAGAGAACTAACATATAGTTTTCTACAGTTATACTTCAACTTAGCAACTTGGTAACATTTCTGCTTCTATTAGAGAGTGCATACCACATGCAATATTTTGAAAGACCATTCTAAGGCAGGAATGTAGGAAGTCCACATAGTTTCAACACATTGCCCAGAACAGAAGGAAGCTACTCAGGAAATTCAGAAGTATCATAATGAGAAAAACACATTAGAAATGCAGACACAGGTTTTAAATAATCCTCCATTTCTGTATTGGAAATATGAGCATATAATCAATTAACACACAAACGAGAAACTCTTGGTACAGTGTCTCAAACAAATCAGTGCTATATTCTGCATGACATAATTGCATTTCCTATAACAGCCCTTTTCTGCTCATCCTGCAAGTAATAGTAATAGAATCAAAATGCTTTATGACACTATAAATTTGACTGAGACTCAACAAAAGGAGAAACAGTGATACTTACAAGAGGTAGCAGCAAACAGCGCATGTCACCAGCATTGTGTTGATAATACTGCAGGAGAAAAAAGGAAAACACTGATAAAATGAAACATTAACAGATTGACACTGGATGTCAGCAGTAATGGGGGGAACATTTTTCAATATTTATCTGATAGAAGCTGTGATTATGCAGTTAAACATGATTTTAATAATCAGATTTAAACATCCAGAAGATAGATTAGTATCATCTCCACGGTGCAGAAAGGAAGCTGAGAGATAACAGATTGTTCAATGCCATCTAGTGAGTTCACTAGGCAAGATTTCAACTAGCAATTTATAGGTTCACAACTTAGTCTCTCACCTCCTGTAATACCGTTTCCCTGAAAATAAGACAGGGTCTTACATTAAATTTTACTCCAAAAATGCATTAGGGCTTATTTTCAGGGGATTTCCCCCCATGTACATTCAACAATATTTTTCTTGTTGTTTAATCGTTCAATCGTGTCCGATTCTTCGTGACCCCATGGACCAAAGCATGCCAGGCCCTCCTGTCTTCACTGCCTCCCAGATTTGGGTCAAAGTCATGTTGGTAGTTTAGTGACACTGTCCAGCCATCTCATCCTCTGTAGTCCCCTTCTCCTCTTGCCTTCACACTTTCCCAACATCAGGGTCTTTTCCAGGGAGTCTTCTCTTCTCATGAGATGGCCAAAGTACTGGAGCCTCAGCTTCAGGATCTGTCCTTCCAGTGAGCACTCAGGGTTGATTTCCTTCAGAATGGATAGGTTTGTTCTCCTTGCAAGAGTCTCCTTCAGCACCACAATTCAAAAGCATCAATTCTTCAACAGTCAGCCTTCTTTATGGTCCATACATCACTACCAGAAAAAACATAGCTTTGACTATGCGGACCTTTGTCGGCAAGGTGATGTCTCTGCTTTTTAAGATGCTGTCTAGGTTTGACATTGCTTTCCTCCCAAGAAGCTGGCATCTTTTAATTTCGTGGCAGCTGTCTCCATCTGCAGTGATCATGGAGCTCAAAAAAGTAAAATCTGTCACAGCCTCCATATTTTCCTCTTCTATTTGGCAAGAGGTGATGGGACCAGTGGCCATGATTTTTTATTTTATGTAGAGCTTCAGACCATTTCTGGCGCTCTCCTCTTTCATCCTCATTAAGAGGTTCTTCAATTCCTTACTTTCTGCCGTCTGAGTGGTATCATCTGCATATCTGATGTTGTTGATATTTCTTCCAGCAATCTTACTTCCGGCTTGGGATTCATCCAGTCCAGCCTTTAGCATGATATGTCTTGCATATAAGTTAAATAAGCAGGGAGACAATATATAGCCTTGGCCTTGTCGTACCCCTTTCCCAATTTTGAACCAATCAGTTGTTCCATATCCAATTCTAACTGTTGCTTCCTGACTCACATATAGACTTCTCAGGAGGTAGATAAGGTGGTTAGGCACTCCCATTTCTTTAAGAACTTGCCATAGTTTGTTTTGGTCCACAGTCAAAGGCTTTTGCATAGTCAATGAAGTAGAAGTAGATGTTTTCTGGAACTCTCCGGCTTTCCCCATTGTGATGAATTCTATTTTTCTAATTAGAGATGGGTTATGTAGTCATGTCTTAACCATAGAGGAATCCATTTTGAGTCTGA